AAATATTGTATTTAATTTTGCTTAATAAAAACATTAAACCTTGACAGCATGAAAATGTTATTCATCTGTAATGCCCATTAAAGCTCTGCTTATAAACAGAAAGCGGACACCTATTGAGATCCTAAATCTGGAATAGCCCTATTTTTCCAATATTGAATCATGAACTTTTTTGCTCTGCCCCAGGTTCGATAAATTCACATTTCTTCATAGAAATGAGTTTGAAATTTTGAGCATATAACTGAAAAACACACTCACTTCCTTAACTTGTAATGATTTTTATATTGTCTTATTAACAATTTAATTGAAGCAAAATGAAAGATTTATATGACCATGTTGTGACTGGAAGGAGTCAGAGGCTTCGAGTGGGGAAGCTGACAGATCGTGGCTTGACGCCAGAACTAGGAGGAGACTGAAACGTCAAGCTGAGGGGAGGTGTCAAGTCAGACAGTGATTAGGGAGATTGACACGCCAATCCAGGTGATTTAAGGAGGCGTGATGAGTCTCAAACTTTGCTTGGAAGCAAAGTGTTTGATGTGTCGAAAGGATACGTGTGGAGCGACCTTTGTAATTTATGGACATTCTGAATTACCAGACAGATTCCGGGAAGTCTGCCAAGGACTGGAATAAGTACTGTTAACCCTTTATTAGTCTGCTTCTGTTTTGGTTTGGATGTTTTGAACTGTGGAACTCTGTATTCTCACTTGTGAATATAGGTGAGACATAACATGACCATATCATATGAATACATATCCTCTCATCCATTTTTCATTCCTAATATTATGAAGTAAGTTATGCTCCTCTGGATGAAACTAGTCCATAGACTGCCTTGCTAATTAGTTTCTCTAACTGTTTTTATATTTTAAGGTAATACTAGTGTGTTCAAAAAAACCTCAATGAGTTTATTTATTTACTGGTTTTATTTACCATCTCAGCTGAGTATGATTGTAAGGGAAAGGGAAAGGTTTTCCTGCACATGCATGCTAGTGTCAAGCCCAAAATTGACATATGTGTAGCCATTTTAGTTAGGCTTAGTATATATTCTTTTTCTTACTTTCTCTTTGGCGGTTATGGGGGAAGGGTTTTGGACTTGCCAAATTCCTAAGGAGGCAGGAATGGAGATAGAGATAGTTGTTTAGGCTAGGTGATTTTTCTTCCCGTGGGAACATGAGCTGACCATGCTGAGGCCCCTTGAGGTGAAGATTTATGACATCAAGCAACGTTGAATTATTTCTATTGGAGAATATGACTTTGGGGAGTTGTTTCTAACTTCTAATTTTGTGGGGCAATTCCAGGTTGTGTCAGATCCAGAATTACCATGGACTTTGCCAATTTGATGCTTTCCTAAATAAAAGAAATTGTTTTGGAAGATGGACTTTGCTCTTTTTTTAAAAAAAAATGGATTTCATCACTTGGAAACCTGACAGCTAGTTGTTTCCGGCTCTAGGGGGCAGTGCTCATCTCCATTTCTAAGCCGAAGAGCAAGCGCTGTCTGAAGATGTCTCTGTGGTCATGTGGCCGGCATGACTAAATGCTGAACGAGCACAGAGTGCTGTTACCTTCCCACCAAAGTGGTCCCTAATTTTCTACTTCCATTTTTTACGTTCTTTCAAACTGCTAGATTGGCAGAAGCTGGGACAAGTAACAGGAACCCACTCCATTACGCGGCGCTAGGGATTAGAACCACTGAACTGCCAACCTTCTGTTCGAGAAGCTCAGTGTCTTAGCCACTGAGCCACTGCATCCCTGAGTATGATTGTAAGTGATGTACAATATCCAAATCTGATAAAAAATATAGTAACATATAATAACAAAAAATGCTGATTGGGGAAAAACGTTCCAGCACTGGTGACTCCTCAATGATCCATCACTAAGTCATTGCAGCTAGATGTTTTTCATGTTTCTAAAAGGATGCACTAGGAGAGCTACTCTTTACTGGGGACAGATGGCTCCCAAAGTTAAAAGTCTTAAAAAGCACGCTTTCCTGTCATATCAGTCCTTGATTGCATTTTGAAACAACCCTTAGAAGAACAGCAAGAATCTAACATCATTTTAAGATGATAGGTGCAAATCTGAAAATGACTATAATCATTGTTGTCATCTCAAAAGTGCTTTTTTTCCAAAGGTAACTAGAGTGTTTTTTTCCCCTTGAGGAAGAAGAACAGTTGTGATGGTGTGGAGGGGGAGGAATAAGAGGATAGGTACTAACAGTTGAGACTGGATGGTGGAGGGATGGAAGGATTATATTTCCTTGCAGTCATCTGGTTCATTATCACTCTGTGAGAGCTCTTGTGGCCACTTGCAGGATTTATCTTTGCCCTCAGGGTCCAATTTGTTGTGGAATCTTCTTGGCACTGTTGCAAGAGTTGTGTTGTAGACTGGAGATAGGTGGTGTCTTATCCCTCTCCTTCTGTTGAGAGAGGGCTGCGCAATGTTAACACAAATGACCTCTTTTACTCCTCTTTTAAACCAAAAAGAGTTTAAGAGCTGTCTTCAAAAGAGTGACCATTATTTTGCAGATGGACAGCTGAATTTTGTCCTGATGAGTTTGATCTCCTATGTTGTGCCATGCTCTTGTGAAGTGGTCGTTTTGCTTCATCAATGTACAGATTTGCACATGTCTCACTGCATTGTATTATACATATAACATTGCTCTGTTTTTGTCTTGGTGTTTTATCCTTCAGGTGGACAAGTTTATGTCTTAGTGTATTCTTGGATTTAAAGTATACATGTATGTTGTGTTGGTTGAAAATTCTCCTGAGCTTTTCAAATATTCCTACAATGTTTGGAATGACAATGTTGCCATGCTTATTGGTCTCTTCTTTGTCTGTAATGGAGGAGCTTCTGCTGGATCTTTTTCTTTATTGCTAGATAAACTTTCAGTCCAGTGTGTAGGTTTCTGATCACTCCCATTTTGTGCTCCAGTGAGTGGTGAGAACCAAAATGTAAATACTGATTTGTGTGTGAGGGTTTTTGTAAACTTCAGTGTTAAGGCTTCTCTCTTCTTTAATGTGCACTGCACAGTCTAGAAAAGCCAAACTGTTTTCTTTAACATCTTTCTGTGTGAACTTGCCAGCTGATAAAGGAAGATGCACAGTTATCCTATATACAGATGATTACAATGCCAAGATGGACACCTTTCTAAAAGACACTACTATATATACTCCTGAATTTTAGCAATGTAATTTGGACAGGCTATACAGAAGTGTTTCTCAACCTCAGTAGCTTGAAAATGTAGGGACTTTAACTCCTAGAATTCCTAGTCCACATGAGTTGAAGTCCACAGATTTTCAAGGTTGAGAAATAATACTGAGGCTATACGAAAGTTTGAGTACATATGGTCTATGCTCCGAAGTTAAGCATTACAACTGAAGTGAATAGATATTATAGCCAAACAGTGGCTTCTTTTCCAGTGAATGATTCTAGTATTTTAGGATGAAAAATTGTTAAGACTCTTTCAGACTGAGCCTGACTTCAGGTGATGATATGGATATATTCATAGATTTTATTTGCAATAATATAAAAGTTGTTTGTCATTGCCATCTCTGGAAGGAACACAAATACATGATTGTATTTCAGTGTGCACTTAAAATATGCTAAAACCAGATCTGTGAGATTTAACATAAAAAAGAGCATTTACTAAGATGGAAATACAAATTCATTAAAATAACAGGTAAAACTTTTAGATTGCAAAATATCTGCTTACAAAGTAAAGCAGCAGAAAACACCGGTACTTATATGATAATAAAACAGTAAAAAACATTGCTTTCTGTGTTCTCCCACCCTACCCTTCCACTGGAACAACATTGTAAATGCTTAGTCCAGAATTAAAACTTATTATTTTAAGGAACTTTTCAGCAAGCATGCTAAGGATTGCAGTTTTAATTCTTTTAACACAGTGTTTTTTAACCTTAGCAACTTTAAAATGTGTGGATTTTAGCTCCAGAATTGCCTAGCTGAGGAATTCAAGAAGTTGAAGTCCACATATCTTAAAGTCAACAAAGTTGAGAAATACTGTTTCGACAGTAGCAAAATAAGTCCTCAAATATATATTTTAATTATTAGGGCTAGTGTCATACTACTTTATTAACTATTATTCAGAATGTGTAGGTATTAACATGTATGTTAGTAGGTCAGTCAAAGTTATTTTTAGAATACTTTTCAACTGCACTGAATGGAATGCTAACTAAAGCTTATTAAATGGAACAAAGTATTTTATTGGGAATGAACTAAATGCTTATTAAATAGAATAAAGTATTTTTATTGGGACAGAATCCTTAGAGCATCTATACTGATGGTTACAATTATTAACCTTTCTCTGAACATTCATAATTTGAGTAGGGGAAGTGATTTTCTGATACATAAAGCTAGTTTCTGTTTCTTATTTATTTTTCTTATTTACTTTTCTTATTTCTTATTTACTTTTCTACAAGCTATATTATAGCCAATTGTTATCTTATTCATGATTATTCATAAATTCAGTGCATGAATAAAATGTAGTGTGAAAGGTACTTATTGATTTTATTGCCTATTTTAGGATTGAAACCCTTGATATCAAGGTTTTAATTTTTAATCCATGCTTTTGTGATAATGTTAAGAGTTACTAATCCTAAAATAATTGCTGATTCAAAATATTGATATATCTATCTTTATATTTTACTAGTATTTTCTCCAAAGCTTACCGAATATAGAAAGGTCAGTGTGCTAAATTGCTTAAAGTAAAAGACTAACACTCAAGAGATTCAATTCAAGGCTACCGTTAGCCATGAACAGTTGCTATCTCTCAGTGAGTTCAATAATTTTAACAATTATATTTCAGACTCAAATCACACACTCTTGGAATTGAAGCAGTTTCAATTTGCTGTAAGATGTTCATCCCTTTTTGGACTATTTTGTTTTAAAATTAGACAGGTAGATTACTTTCACAAAGCATATGGAATAGTATGTTCTAATATCCTTGTTTATATTTCATAAATACTGAGAAAATGTCTTTAAATTTTCAGCAAGTTGTGGCAGCAATAAATGCAGGAGTCAATCCTAAAGGAAATATGCCAAATCACATCAGTCACTGGGATTTGGGAAGTTCCTTCTTCTTTGCGGGGACTGTTATTACCACCATAGGTAGGACACCATTTATTATTCTATTTGAACACTGATGACCCAAATTAAATTTAGCTAAAGTATATGTTTATATATTATTATTTGGGAACTTTGTCTCTTTTAATTGTCCTATTTTTAGTAAGGAAATGTTGGTTAGATATGTTTCTTACATATTTACAAACTAAGCATAAATAATCAAAAACTTTTAGTGCAAGGGTTTAGATTATTTTTAGTTAATATTTTTCTTAATGGAACCCTTGGTTTTTAGCTTGATTTGATTTGTTCAGCAACGACTGCCTTAATTTCATACCCTTATTTTCATACATTTTAACTGAGGACTTAATCTAATTGGAAAATTTCTTTAAATGTTAAACATGTAAATATAATGAGCCTCCATATAAATAGAAATCACCTAGTGTTTTATTAGGTATTGGGTGATTTGCATAGTTGAACAGCATTCTTTCTACTATATGGTACACATATTTTTAATGTATGTACTATATGGATAGATGCACCATCCCAAGCAGAATGCTATAAATGTAATAAATTAAATGTCTTACTGTTGGACATAAATATGTCATCATAGCATCATTTACTTTTATCTCAGACATAAACTTACTTAATGAGAGACAGGTGATATGTCCAAAAAGGTGATGGTAATACATCCCACCCCATATTTGTCACTATGAGAATGTGTTCCACACATCATCTTCAGTCAGAGTAGAAGGGCTAAGAAGATCCTCTTCCTCTTTCTCCAATCTAAGATTATCTGAGAAAGGAAATGTGAGATTGGACCAGTCATGCCTCCAATTTTCATCACATTTTGCCTTCCAGAGATCTTTGGATTGAACAGCAAAATAAGAGCTGCAACGGAGCTTATATATACAGAATTAGTATCTATGTGAGAAACTATCATATAGTAGAAGTGGATGGAAAAATGGATAAAAACAGGTATTCTGTTAACTCTGTGAAAATGTGCATATATACTGTTGAAATTTTATCATATTATCTTGTTGCATAGGGAGAATTCAGCATGTTTTTAATTGTTTTGTAATGAGCCTGCAAGACAGACTTTCACAGCCTGTGCACCTCAGATAGCTTGTATTACAACTACCACAATTGTGGCAAAATTGAAGATTAGGTTGAGAAAAGTTGCTGTAGACAGTTTAAACTTGTCTTGATTGAGAAATTCATAAATTTAAGAATGTTCTTCCTTATTTTCAATAATTCTAATCTTCCTTCCTGAAAAAAAGTGCCTCAATATCTTTAATGAACAAGCATTTGTAACCATCCCACCAAAAAAGAAATGTACGTAAGCCAACTATTGGAAAGATGAACTGAGAGAATGTTTATTATAAATAACACTGATTCTTTTCCTGTATACTAATTCATTTCTGAACTAAAATAAATATTTCCTTAACTAAAGCGATGTATCAAAATGATTTTAAAAGCAACCATGAAACAAAATACACTTGCTTGAAATATTAAAACAAAATGTTCAATTTAACTTGTCAGAGAATTTCAAAACTGTACATTGATGTTGTTTTAGAGTGCTACCATTGATAAGTGGCATTTGCTACTGGCATTTGGTTTTGACTGTGCAGTTCTATGAATTCAGTCATTCTACTGTTTTCCATAGAATTATTTTTGAAGGTTATAGTTTACTGAGCCCACAATATATACTGTATTATTAAATTTATTTGAGGCTCATTTCATCGCAAGGCAACTCTGGGCAGCTTACAACATTAAAAGAGATGCAATCAAAGCCATAGGACTACAAAATTATGATTAAAAATGGAAGGGAAGGAAGCAAGATGTACAGGGGGTGAGGTGGGATCTATTAGTCCATTAACCACTTCCAACATGGTACTCTTCTTCCTGTTCCAGGCCAACTGGAACAGGCTCTTATGGAAGGTCAGGAGAGCCAATCTTATCTTAATGAGCAAGGTGTTTCAAAGGGCCAGGGCCACGATAATATTGCATACACATAGAATACTGCCTCCTTACATGTTTTTTTTTTTAAATTGAATTGCAGTTGCTATCATCAGACATGACTTCTTGAGGTCTTTGTATTTTTAATACTCTACACCAGTGTTTCTCAGTTTTAGCAATTTTAAGATCTGTGGACTTGAACTCTCAGAAATTTCTGGAAGATACAAGGTTAGAGATAAAATGGTATAACCTCAAATTTTATCCTTGAGCCATTTTTGTATTCCACTGTCACTTATGGCGAGCATCCGTTGCTTTGAATATGACATGAATAGCCTTTGGTATTTTATGAAATAATATTTGTTTAAGATGGCTCCTGCTTCTATGCAACTGACCTATACAAATATCAAAATCTCCAGCATTCTTTTGGTGTCATATTATAATGTCAAGCAAAACTGTTTTATTTAAGTGAAAAGATAGCAAGCAGCTACTGACATTCTGAAAATATGCCATATATAATGGCAGGTTTGAGCTAGCACTTAGCAGACTAAAATAAATCCTTGTAGATTCACATTTGTGATTAAGGTCTGGTCTTGGTCTCTGAGCTTGAACAAAATTTTTATTGTAAATATTTTTTCTTTCTCCAGTGTATGTCCCCTGCAGGCATAAGCCTTTTCTTCTGAAGTCGGAACATTTTCTATCTTGTTACTGTATGTAGTTTATTGATTCAGCCGAACAATGGAGAATTGTACTATTAACTCTGTTATTGCTGACAGAATTTCATTGTAATCACAGAAGTCTGTGTTGAAATTCTGTTTTCAGCTAGACATTAACTACTTAATACACAATCTCTGCCTATTCCATGGAGGCCTATGTAGGAATAAGAAAGTTTTACAATATATGTTGCATGAAAAGAAAAAGTATGTTTCTGAGACCCAGTATAATACTATTATACAAAAGCACGTTTATTAGATACATATTGTACAATTTTATTAGTCATTTTCCCCCTCTTTCAATGATATGCAATTGTTTTTCTTATATTAATAATTTTCTCCTTTTAAAATCTTTTAACAAAGCTTTTTTAAAAATCACATAACTGTAGTTATCATGACCAGGTTCAAGCTATTTGTTCCAAAATGCTGTTTCTAATCACTGAAAATATTTCCTGTTATCAACAGTAATGGCAAAAAAATTGAGCTGGAAATAGGGCAGCATTGGTCCTGATCTTGAGCCAGGGTGTCAGTTTTAGGCAGCAATTGATAAGTAAAAGGCAAGACAGGGTTTAAAAAAAACTCATACATTTAATTCTTCCAATCTGGCCAGTCTAAAGAGCCCATGTTGCTGGCTAGTTAAAAGACTTCCAAATATTATTCTGTTCTACAGAGACCTGAGACCTGCAGAATCAAATGTATCCAAAGAGGAAAAACACAAAATGGCCCTTACAAGGCACTCCTGAACTTCTTGAAATCAGGACCAGAAACTAGAACCCAGGATTTGCTTCTAGGAGCTGTTGTCCTGTTGTGCTGCTAGCAATGGCCAGAAAAAATATATGTGGCATTTGTTAAATTTGCTGGGTAAATCTACAAAGGCAAAATTCTACTCCTTACAACTTGGAATGGTTAAAAGGAGTTTAGGATTGCACATAGCTGGAGTTTACTGGGTTGCTGGGAATTAGCAGCAGCAAAGACTAGCTATTGTGTCATTTTCCACCAGTGATGAAACAAAATTGTTTTCTATTTCTGCTTGCAAATAGCAAGCTTGAATGATCTTTGAAGTCTGACAAGAGTCCGCATGGTAAGAAGGAAAGTTACCATGATGAGTGAAGTGAGTACATTTGTGTTAATCCATGAGAAATAAAGTCTAGTTAGGAACAATGCCACAAAATTCAAATGTTTTAATTTCACTAATTTTATTGGGAGAATAAGCCACCTGCTTCATCCTCCCATTAAAATAAATAGGGCATTGCTTTTCTTTTGACTGAAGTGTCTAATGAAAAGAAGGACTAGGGTTATCATGATAGCATGCTTCTAATATCTAAGGGGCTGCCACAAAAAATGGGTGGGGGTGGTGGTCAAGCTATTCTCTAAAGCACCTTGAAGGCAGGACAAGAAGCAATGGATGGAAACTAATCAGAGAGAGAAGCAACCTAGAAATAAAGATATATTTTCTGACAGTTACAACAATTAATCAGTAGAACAGTTTGCCTTCAGAAGATGTGGATGCTCCATCACTGGAGCTTTTAAGAAGAGATTGCTGTTTGTCTGAAATTGCATAATGTCTCCTGTTTGAGTAGGGGGTTGAGTAGACCTCCAAGGTCTTTCCAATTATGTTATTCTGTTTTCTAACCATACTTATAAGAAATGCCCATGGTGAAGTAATTCTGCATTTTCCAGACTCTCTCCTTCACATAAGGCTCATGAGTTGAATTTTATTTTTTTAGAACAAAGTTTCTCCATTTTTAGAATATTCATCAAAAAGTAGTTAATGTATTCTACTAAGCATGTAAAGGGTATGCAATTACCTATATCTATTATATCCAGAAGTTTGAAAGCATAATAAATTTGCTATCAAAAAGTATACTAATTTGAGCGCTCCAAAAGAAAATAAATTGGTTGAAATAGCAGCTGAAAGATTATAACAGGCCACATTACAAAAAAGAGATACTGTGTGTTTGATAGCACAAATAGATTGGAGTGAATGACCAGAACATGTCTTGATTTCCATTACTACAGGGTTGGGCAAGTCAAAATCTCATGTTTTGTTTTGTAGTTTCCCTGAATATATTTATCAGTTTTCAGCATCATTTTTCCTGATGTTTTAAGGTGAAAGTAATATTGTAATTCAGATAATAGATTTTAGAAGAAAAAGATAGCCTTCCTCAGCCTGTGCATCACAGATAGCTTGCATTACAGCTGCCACAATTGTGACAAAACTGAAGGGCATTAGGTTGAGAACAGTTGTCATAGACAACTTAAACTTATCTTGATTGAGAAGTTCATAAACTTAAGAGTGACTATCATTATTTTCAATAACTCTAATCTGTCTTTCTAAAAAATGTGTCTCAACATATTTAATAAACAAGCATTTGTTAC